AAAAAAAAAAACAAAAACATAGAACCATGACACAGTGCTTCCTAATGTATGATTGTGCTTATTTTGTTCTTATTTCTAGGTTATTAACACACCTTTTCATCACACAGACACAGAATCACACAGAATTGTTGAGGTTCATAGGGACCTTTGGAGGTCATGTGGTCAAATCAGCTGCACAACCATAGAAAACTAAAGCAGGTTGCCCAGAACCATGTTCAGATCAATATTTCCAAGGAGAGAGACTCTGTAACCTTTTTAGGCAACATGTGCCAGTGCTTTTTCACCCATACAGTGAAGTGTTTTCTAACCCTCAGAGCTTCCTGCATTTCAGTTTATGCCTATTGCCTATTGTTCTGGCATTACGCATCACCAAAAAAGAGCCTGGCTCTGTCCTTGTTGCACCCTACCTTCAAATACCTGTGTATGTACACTGATTATCTTTCTTCCAAGCCTCTTCTTATTGAGGCTGAGCAGGCTCAGCTCTCTCAGCCCCTCCTCACAGGAGAGGTGCTGCTGTCCCTGTCATCATCTTCATGGTCCTGAGCTGGAGTCTTACTTGTACTGAGGAGCCCCAGAACTGGATGCAGCACTCCAGATGTGGCCTTCCCAGTGCTAAACAGAGGGGAAAGATCACTTTCTTGCTGCTGATGATACCTTGCTTAATATAGAATCATAGAATCACCAAGGTTGGAAAAGACCTAAAAGATCATCCAGTCCAACCGTTCACCTATTCCCAATAGCTCCCACTAAACCAGGTCCCTCAACACAACATCCAGCCTTTTCTTGAACACCCCCAGAGTCGGTGATTCCACCACCTCCCTGGGCAGCATTGGGCTCTGCTAGACTATTTTCATCATCTTTGATGATAATCTTAGGGAGTGACTTTTATTTTACCTTAACTCTCTGAAAATCTCTCTTGATCTGAGAACTTGACCTGGTGTTAAGAATAAGTTGATCTAATAGTGAGGTGCCACTGTCAAGCAGTGGCCCTTATTCCTATTTCTGCCAATATTTAATCAACTGTTCTTTTTGTTCTCTCTCCTTCCACATTGGAAGGATCATCAGTCTCATAGCCACAGAATAAGCTGAAACAGACTAAACACTTTCTCCTCAGCCTTGTTTTATTTTAGAATTTCTTAAAGCTGACATGGGATGGTGGGAGAATGTATGGGGAGAAGATTCTGCCACTGAAATAACATGATCATAACACAATGCTGTATCTTGATCTAGTCATTGAGACATTTTCAGTTGTTACTCAGGAGAAATAACGTCCTTCAGTCCAGTTTAGAAATAAGGGATATCTTTTTCAAGTTTTTTCTCTGTCAAGAGAGTCTAGATGAATAGCTTAGATTTGGACAACTTAATGTAGATCATTAAATTTACATGACAAAAATGCCAACTATTATCTTAACAGTAAAGAGAAGTTTTATGTTTTCTTTCTGACTTTTTTTCTGCTTTGTTGCTTAAAGTTCCTTGCATCTATAGGAATTTTCTAGTGGAAAGTTAGTTAGAATCTTGCTCACCCCTTTTATGTTTTTAAATACTATGTGTAGTTTTCATTCTGTGCTAGCAGTTTTGATTACATGATATTCAAGTTGTCTTTTAAGCTGAACACTGTTGGTAATTTTTCTGTGTGTTGGTATTCATGTTAATATATTGAAACTAGACAGTGTGCACAAATGCAAAACGGTTCTCGTGCTGCTCAGTAACTACTTAAATCTTATGACAAAGAATTAACTTCATGATATTTCCTCTTTACAAGAGAACAGAACAAAGTTAAAACTGAATTCACTAATTAATTTTCTTTGAATGTTATCAGCAAAAATGACCTTGTTCCAATCTTTTTTTTCTCTTTAAGAAGCATTGTGCTGAGTTTTATTTCAGTACTTACAGGTGACTGTGGTGAGCTAAGTCCTTCTTAGCCATTTGTACTGAAGACCTGTTATTAGTAATGTAGAAATACATAGTGTGCTGATGTCTCAATTTTCTGAAGCTTTTTCTTTTTTGAAGAAATTGTTGACAATAAGGAAAGTATTAGTGAGTTGACTTTAAGGCATATATTTAGTCTTAATTTTAGCGTATTCTTTAATGCTTTCTCTAGGATACTTTTTAGAACTCATTTATAGAATTGAGTTTTTAATCCAACAGATGTGAACTGTTGAAATTTGTCCACTGGATAGGAGGAAAAAACAAAGCTCAACAAGTCACGTGAAAAAGCAGCCAAGACGTCGCAATTCACAATGACATTTTTTTTTTTATAATATTTAACTACTGAGATGTGGACTTCTGGTATACTTTTAGCAACCTTCATACAATTAATGATCAGCAGTCTTTTTAGTAATTTTTAGTAGGAGATTAGTTTAACTTCCTTTTCACTTATATATGGTTAACATTCTCCTTTACTCACACACTGTAATATTGAACTGGACTACATTAGTACAAGAATACAAGTTCTTTTCCCTTTTTTTAGTTTTCCTTGAATGTAGGCTCAGGTTGCCTGACATTATCAGGATAACACTGAGTTTTCCGCTGTAATGGAAGACGTGTTACTAGGTGATTTTAAGACTCCTTGACAATTGATTGTATACTGTCCCATCACCCAGTTTGCTGAGTCCTTACAAGTTTTTAGTCCCTTTGACAGCTAATGTGCTGCTATTTATCTTCCTGACTGCTGGAAGAATAGAAGGTAAATCTGTATTTTTCAGAAGATAAATCAAAAAGCTAGTGAGTTGTTGGTTTATTTTTTTTCAGTAGTTATGTTCAGTTGCCATATAAATATATGAAAGAACATTAAAACCATTATTTTTACTTAGTGCCTGCGAAATGAATCTGAGGCATGCAATTCAAAAATATTTTTAACAATAAAGTTATATTTGGATTCCACTGTTTTAGAGTTTTTCTACTGTCTTGTGTGTAACACTGCAACGCTTTATTCTTCTATTTCCCTGAATGTAGTAGGGGTCATTTAATGAAAATAGAGTAATGCCAACAACAAAATTCACCAAGAAGCCACAGTAGAAATAAGAACTATGTATTTTTTCTTTTTTTGGTGTGGTTTTTTTTTTTTTTTTTTTTTCTTATAAAAGATGTAAGTTTGTACTAACAACTAAAAAGCACTAAAAAACAGCATTAAGACTCTTCCTTACTTAAATAATCTGTTCTGTGGAAAATAAATAAATAAATAAAGTCAAGATATTACTTTAAAACTAAAGACTTCATTTTATTCTCTCACTTGTAGGATTTTTTTTCCCTCAGTAAATTAACAAAAAATATACAGCCTAAGTGCTTACGTTGTGACTTCTTTTCCCAAACTAGGTCTTGCTTTTCCTTTTACAGATCCTTGTTCCTCCATTTGATAGGCCCTCTTCCTCTGTTTATACTGTGATTACACTTTGTTTATCATTTTCTATGGTTATATGAAGGAAATAAAGATTGTAGTTTTCCCTGCTACATATATTATGGACTTATTCTGACTGTTCTCAAAAAAACCTGGAGCTGGATTTATAGTTTTGCACTTAAAAATAGTAATTATAAAGTGGAGTCTGTAGTTTACCTTAATTTTCTCTTCCTGAAACTTGCACTGTTTCTGTTTAAAGAGATAAAAAGGCAAAATAAACTATATATAATATAAATAATAATTAATTTATTTAAATTATCCAATAGGGAAGGTGCCAAGGAAACAAAATAGCAGGGAGTCTTGATCTACAGCTCATTCATTTTGGCAGACATTTTAACTTAATTGTTGAGATCTTATATTTTGTAGTGTTGTTTACTGTAGCTCACAGAGCTGTAAGTGTTTCTAAAGGTGTTGAATTCTCTTAAATCAAGCTGTAATTTAGGACCTTATCATACCTATCCCCCATTTCAGGTAAGTGAAGAAGTAA